TAGGCTAAAACAATTAAAAAATTGTAGGTGATGATCAACTTGTTACTAACGTTTCTAAAAATAAGCCACAATCGTGTATAAATTAATTAATATTTAAGATACTGCAATCTTTTAATAATTTAATAAAATGAAATAACATAACAAAATTATATATATGTGAAGAGCAATCTAAATATTATATTCGTAAAATTTTTAAAAAGATCAATTTCACTAGATATTAATAGTAGATTTTGTAAAAAAGGGTCCAAAATTATATTCCACTTTCGAGACTTGTTTATTTTCACTTTAATAGCTCTTTCGGCTGAACAGGAAGTAGTAGGAAGGGTTAATAAATTTTTATATAATAGATTCAAATTAGAATAAGAATTCAATTGATTTAAAAGTGGGCATGGTAAATAATAAAAAAGAATATTTTAGTCATTTATTTGTTTTGGGCATAATTTTGTTGTTGATACCTTCTTCTGTAGTTTGACTATTTGCAATACCTTTAATAATATACAATTTCAGATAAAATATTATTAAATTATTTTCAACAATATATAATGTATTATACCACAAAACATCTTGGCATGAGTGCTTGTTCCTTTAAATATAATAAGCGAAAATTGTTATATTCATTAATAATATTTTGGGCATCCAATTGAAAAATAATACATCGATAATTTTCATTTTATATTCTTTCATTATCCATGATCTAGCGGGGGTAAAAGTACATGTTTGTGATAAAAAATTTACATGTAATCAAATCGTTCAGATAAGTGACTTATTTTACATTTAATAGAACCATTTTATATCTATAAAGCTAAATAATAATTTTAGAAAATATTTAATCAACTTATTTTTTTTTGCTTAACATAACTATTGAGTTTGTTCTAATTTGAATATTGATTTCATACTAAACAAATCAGTTACAAAATTATTCTTTTTTAAAAAACTATTAGATATGGAGGTAATTTAAAAAAAATATTGTCCCAATTAGCTTATTTATAGAAATAGTAACTAATATTAACCTCTAAGTCTCTTTATTTTATTTTTTATGGTGGTATAATTTTGTTACCAGAGCCATAGTTACCAAGCCTTCATCTCAATATAAACCTCATGTGTGTATTTCAATATTATTTCAAAATAAATAGACTTAGCACTTCAATAATCCGATGGCGTCTATGAGACCCTAGGCCTGTAAGAATTGATATTACATAAAATGGTTAATTATTAGGATCTGGAATCTTCAGTGGCTTCATCAAACATATCTTAGAATCAATATTCCAAATTTTATATATTTTGGTTGAGTAGTTTCTAAGATATAAGCATTTTGTGACTGATCGTCTATTAGACCTGTAAAAATTGGATAAAATCGTCATTTATTTATTGATACCATGACAGAATAATTAAACAAAATAAGACAGAATTTTATTATCATAAATCACATTTTATTTTTATTATAAATTACATTTTTTTTATTAACTCTTTAACCAAAAACAATTTTTCTTTTTATATCTTTTTATCAACAATAAAAAAAATAACCAATTATATGAAATACAAATTGATATTAAAAAAATTTAACGTTAAATGATTATAAAATAATGTTAATATAAAATTTTCACCGATTAAATTTAAATACAAAGTGATTAAAAAAGGGGTCAAGTTAAAATGATATATAAAAAAATGTTAATATAATATTTTCACCGAAATATATAATCTCTATTATTTAACAAGACCCCATTAGAGGACTTGCGTCATTTTTCGCGATTTTTTTCTTTAATTCTTGTTAATAATTCATCTGCAATGGAAGAGGTGCTTGGGTCATAAAGATTATCTTCCATTTTTAATTATATATGAACGACTAGACAGTTATTGCTCATTTAAATTATGCAATAAAATGCTCTCATCAGCAAGAGTAATAATCTTAAATTAAATAGCCACACAAATATTAGATACTGGTTAATTTGCAATCATAGACATGACACTCACGATGTAATCTCATACCAGAATTTATTATGTTATATAAATTGATAAAACAAAAACACTAAAGAAATAATTATGCAAATATATTGAAGTCTTGACCTATCACAGTAAGGTTGCCATATTAGAAATGAATCATTTTGTAACTAAAAAATAAGGACTAGAGTGTATGCCGAAAGTAATTAAGATTTATATAATATTCTTGCACCACCTATAGTTGGTATATTATATCTTAAAATAATAGTAGTTTATTAATAATATCAAAAATATAATCGTATTAAAAATTTAACTCAAAAATGTTTTACAAAAAGAAAAAATATCTTTCCTAATAACACATAAAAAAGAGAAGGAAAAAAAGTTATCTAATAAAATTACATTGATTGAAGTGAATAATAAGATGTTTAATTATTTAACAATATTTTTAAAAAATAAATAGATGTGGTGTTAATGAATTAATTGCAAATTTTTACTTATATTCATAGGCGTAGCCAGGATTTTCCTAAGAGGGGGGGGGGTTAAAAGCATGGTAATAATTTATTCCAATCAAATATAAGAAATTTATTTATAAAAAGTAAGTAGACATATAATTGATATTCCTCTATTATATAGAATTAGTTACAAAATACTAGGTAAAATTCCACTTTTGCAGACATATTTGACAGTTAGAGAATATTTTACAGTTAATATTTTAACAAATTTTACTAATCAATGCTCTTGATAATAAATATAGCAACAATTTGCATTCAATAATTTAACGCCATCTATTTATTTTAAATATCATCCCACAATGTCTTAAAATATATTTTTTGATGTCCTTATCAATATTTTATAGTTTTCTGTTAAATATATAATTCGCTATATTGATAAATATTATTTGATTGTCATATAATAATTGATAAAATTAGATAAACTGTAAATCTACGTACGACATATAATATTCCACTGTTTGTATTGTGCTTTAATTTTTTTATTTAATTTATAATTTAATTTTATATAGTTTTATAATTACATTTTACTTTTATTAGGATAAATAAATTTAAATTACTCACTTTATAAAAAATTATATTTGATATATTTTATTAATTTAGTAATTTTATAGATCTATTAATATAATTATAATACATTTCACGTTTGTTTTAAGACTTATCTTTGGCTCATATTCCATTTCTTTAAAAACATTTTTGGTTCACTTTTTTTTATATAAATGCTTTTTTCCAAAAATGTATAAATTATGATGAATAGTTTTAGTTTAAAAAAATATCAACATTTACATTCTTTCTTTCAAATTATTGTTTAGGATATATGCATACATTTTTGGGGGTCAGGTAGTGGGGGCAGGACTAAGGGATATTTTTTATTAGCTTGAAATGATATTCACAAAAAGTGATAAATTTCTGAAGGGGGGGGATTTCCTCTTGTCCCCCACCTGGCTACGCCTATGCTTATATTTATTATCAAAAGCATTGCTTAGTAAAGTTTATTAAAATATACTGTAATATATTCTATAACGGTCAAAAAAGTCTGTAAAATGGCATTTTACCTAATACTTAGTAACTAATTATATATAATATAGGAATATCAACTAAAAATGGTTAATTTTCAATTAATAACTGATTATATTTATTTAATTAGAAAATAATTTAAATAATAAAAATAAATTAAGCTTCAACTGTTAATGCTAAATTGATATTTAGACATTATGAATTATATTGTTATCCTATTTTTAACACAGGATTTCATTGCAAGTGATATAGTGAAAATATAATTTATATATATTAATCTAATCTAATAATTTAAATAGCACTCATTTAATAATATTTAGATAGTCTTATTAATTTTTAAATAATAAAATCAAATCTATATATAATAATTAATAGAATTATAAAAGAAATTGTTCAGGGAGTTATCAAAAAAATAATTTTTTGTTCAAGGCGATACTAGGGACCTATTTAAAAAAAATTTTTTTACGCTTCTAAGGGCTCGAGCCCTCCCCCCCCCCTTGTGACGCTACTGGGTAAGTCTAATAGTTAGCAACAATCCATATAAAGGTCTATCAGAGAATGAAGGAGTTGTTTCAACAAAGTACATTTAATAAATTTAAACTAATCTTATTTTGAATTTATTGGATAAAGATAATTTATGAATGATAGAGATATAAAGAAATGATTAAAGAGCGTAGCATTATATTAATTGTATAACCTTATTGCCAATCTGAGTTGCTATAAATTATATTGCCTTTTGTGGTTTTTAAAAACTATCATCAATTGAGTCACTATAGGAATAAATATACAATTTTTATCACTTTTGTAACTTTTTAGTTGCAAATTTTTTTTTATATCCGCAATCACAAATATGCAATAAAGCATTGTAGCAAAAAATGAACGCATATGTATACACGGTTGAAATTACAACGCCATCTAAAATATTAATAAAATACATATAAAATCTATAAAGTTCAAAGCTATGCGTCAATACCCTAAATTTCTACCTATTCAGTTGGGCCTTGGAAAATAAATCTTTTTTAAATTATAGCTAGCTTAAATAATTTATTAGTATGGGTTATTATATTTATGTTGCACACTTGTAGCCTGATCAGCCAGATGATCAGAAGAGATTTTTTTCTTAAAATATTTGCTTTTTCCCTTGTTGATAAAAATATAATTTTTGAAATCAAGCCGCTATCTTCAAAATTTTAAAATTACGAAACGTTCCTTTCTTTGAAATAAAAAATTTTAATAAGATATTTGATTTATTGTTATAAAAATTAATTATTTTATAATTATATTCTTCATTTTGTGGAAAAAAAAAATGTTTTTCACAAAAAACATATAAAATAACTTTAAATATCTGGTTTATAAAATAAAGTTTTTATATGTTTAAAAGAAAATTAGAAAATGATATGCCGTCAATATCTTTATTGAACATACATTCAATTGAATCATTTACTTCAAATGCAAATTTAGATTCAGATCACTCAAATGAAAAGAATGGGATGGGGATAAATCATATTGACCAAAATTTTAGCAAAATAAATAATATTCAAAGTCAACAAATTAATGTACAACAATATGACATGAGTACCCTGCCACTGACAATACAATCTATTAAATCTAATAAAGATATATATATAACTCCCAATAAGGGAGATAACCTATCAAGAGAGAATGCTAAATCCATGAATATATTTACTAAAATTTTTACTAATCACCATTTGATAAGTAATACTTCTTTAAAAGATATAACAAAAAATTTATTTATCAATCATAAAATAATTAATCCTCCATTAAATAGTTATCATTTAACATCTATCAATGGTTCCAAAATATCAGCTCATTCAAATAATTCTTTACCTTTTGATTCTTATGAAGAATACAAGGGAGTCAATAAAGATGCCTTAGATGAAGGTTTGGAACTAGCTTGGATGGGGCAAAAGTTATCTCAAAGGCAGCATTACACTGAGGCTATTACTCTTTTTAATAAAAGCCTTTCCTTTTTGTTAAATAGTAAATATGACATTATATTTACAAGCAATGATTGTAAAGACAATGTAACAAATAATGATAATATTGTAAACAATGTGGAAAATCAGGTTACATATATGGATACCCTTGGGAGAGGATATAAAATTGAAGAAATATTATCTGCTCAATTTCAAATTGATCAAATATTTATTACATCATACAGCCCACAATTAATACAGATTCTTAATGCTATTTACAGTCACCTTGGAAATTGCCATTATTTTTTACGTCAAAATAACATGGCATTTGAGTGTCATATTCGAGATCTCCGTCTTACAATGTAAAAACATTATTTATATAAGAATTTTTTCATATTAATTTTGATATGACTATTTATAGGGCTGCTTTTTTTCACTAATCCAATTTACTGACAGAACTAAAATCTATTCAATTTCAATCTGATAATGATTTTTACACTGTCTAAATTTTATCCACATCTTACATATTTTATATAAATAAGGTCAAGAAATAATAATATATCATAAAAATATATAAATCATAAATTCCTAATAAAAAAGTTTTAATTAGTTTAATCTTATATAATTTTTTATTTATATAAAAATTTTCTCATATATTTTTTTGACTTGGAATACGGTAATTAGGACTAAGATGATTTATTAATATAAAGCCTCTATCTTGGGCTAAGGAAAAGGGTTGATTATCAAAATTAATAATTTTGGAAATATATTAGATTTATTTTCTACTTTTGGAGTGACTAAAATACATACCTCAGAAACTACACATCCATATATGTCCCCTATCAAAGAAGTGTTAATTTAATGATATTAATATTGAATAGTGTTTAGCTTATCAAGTTGATTTATAAATTTTTTTTTAATATAAAAAAAACTGGTAACATAAATTTTTAAATATTTTTTTTACATGACTACCTACCTACCCACCCATATACACGTTCTCAATAATCATGCACTATGTTTAAATGAATGCAGAATCATATTAGCTCTAAAAGAATTCAGAAAATGAAATCTTAATTTTTTTTTATAACTTAGTGGACTTTTGATTGACCAAACTACACATCCCTACACGATCCTTATTAAAAATGGTCTAATTTAAAGATATAAATATGGAATAATGTTTAAATCTTTGAGGAGATTCAGAAAATTGGTTGTATTAATTTAAAAAAAAATTAATTATCTAATTTTTTTTGACTAAACTATATGACCCCTATTAAAAGGACTCAAATTTAAAAAATAACTATAGAATCATGTTTGGCTTAATGAGATGAATAGAAAATTTTATTTTGAATTTTAAAAAACTAATTAGCAAAATATAAAAAAACTTTTTGGATGACTAAAATACTTATCCCTGATGCACATCCTCGATAATTATGCTCTACTTTTAAAATATGAATGGAATCATGTTTAACTCTTTGAGAAAATTTTTTTGATAATTAAAATTTAATAAAAATGAATACTCATTTTCTGAATCTTTTCAAAGAATTTAACTCGATTCTGCAATCATTTTATTAAAATAGAGCAAAATTATTAAGGATGCACATGGCTTTGTTGGGGATGCATATTTTAGTCATCCAAAAAGTGCCTTTTTGATATTTTACTAATTTTCCGATGTAAAAAAAAATAAGAATAACATTTTCTATATCACCTCAGCTAAATATGATTCTATATTAATTTTTTTAAATTTAAGTCTTTTTAATAGAGGTAGGGACCAGGGACGAAAACCTTTCTAAAAAAGGGTTTGGGTTTAGGTTCAGTGAAAAATCTCTGAACCCAGTGCAGGTTCAGGTGGGTTCAGGGTTTGGAGACCAGAAAATTAATACTTATTAAAATTAGTTAAAATAACAGAAACATCATTTTTTTTAAAAAAATTTATTTTAATTAGTATCTCCATAAAAATTATTTATCATAATAATTATTATATTACAATACATTTTAAAAAATTACTAAATATAACAATAATGATTACACAAAAAAATGATCAAAAATGTTTTTTTAAAAATTAATATATAAATTTTTTAAAATTAAAAAAAAAAGATTGAACCCTGAACCCAAAATTTTAAGGGTTTGGGTTCAGCGAAATATTGAGGGTTCAGGAGGGTTCGGGTTCTCGTCCCTGGTAGGGACTGGACTCGTTATTTAATTAAAATATTTTTTGAATATTAAATTAAAAAAAAAATTAATGCTACCATTTTCTAAACCTCGACGAGTTAAACATGGTTCTGCATTCATTTTTAGAAAATAGAGCATAATTATCATGGATGCTCAGGGCCATGTCGTGAATGCATATTTTAGTCCCCTAAAAAGTGTTTTTTAAATATTTTACTAATTTACCAGTTTTTTTAAAATTCATAACATTTTCTATTTCATCTCATAATCTAAACACGATTCTTTATTTTTTAAAATTTGAGTCCTTTAATAAGGGTCGTGTGGGGCTCCTAGTTTAGGAAAAATTTTCGATAATTAAATTTAAAAAAAAATCATTTTCTGAATTTATTTATGTTTTTAAATTAGAGCCTTTTTAAGAGGGGTTGCTTAAGGATGCGTCAGTTTGGTCAAAAGAAAAAGTGTTTTTATAGCCCACTAAGTTATAAAATATTTTAAGATTTTATATTAACATTTTCTGAATCTTTAGAGCTAAATATTATTCTGCGTTCTTTTTTTAAAAATAACACATATTTATCGAGGGCGCATATGGGGGCGCATAGTGATGCTTATTTTAGTCATGTAAAAATATTTTTAAAATTTCATTATGTTACCAGTTTTTTAAAATTAAAAAAAGCATTTTTTAAATCAACTCGATAACCTAAACACGATTCTATGTTAATATTATTAAATTAAGGCATCTCCGATAGGGGACGCGTAGGGATGCGTACAGTGGACTCATATTTTAGTCACACCCGTACTTTCCCAAGCCTAAAATTAATTTTCCATTGTTTTCGATAATTTTTGTCCGAGCTCTTATTTCTTTGGATTGGTTTTATTATTATTTTTTTTATCTTGTAACTCTTCATATACTTTTTTGCGATACCTTTCTAAATGTCTTCATAGTTTGATAGTATTAAATAATATTTATTTGTTGCCCCACTTGTTAAATGAAATAAATTGCATACACTACAAACTTCAACAAGTACCACTTTAAAAAGAGTGCAAGAGTCCGACTTAACTCAAAAATAGCTTTGTGGAAATTTTCAAGAATATTGACAAGATCTTCAAGAATCGGAAAATCTATAATATAATACTTTTCCGATCCCCCATGTTCTTGAAGAACTTTTATAATTTCTTGATTTTGTGAATAAACACTGAGCATATTGTATTTAGAGTTCCATCGGACTTCTACTTTAAATGCTGGCATTTATTACATGCTGGTGTTAGGTAGTGTTAACCTATATATTATAACTATATCTAATTGACGAATATAATAATTCATAATGAATAAATAGTATATTTCAATACATTTTTCCCCTTCATTAATTGGAAGGTTTCCAAAATATTTCTTCATTTAATATATTTGGCAATTTCTTTCGGACAAATATTCAACTTCTATATCAGCTTATTTCAGAGCTTTCTACAGATTTATATTTGCTCCTTACATTTTACTGACGATTCCCATCTTGTTTGGATAATTGTACATAATGTAATATAAATTGGCAATTAGTAATTTTCTCAAACCATTCTTTAACAAAATTATTATATTTATTTATATATTAAGATCCAATCAAATTAATAATGAGAAAAATTCTTTTATTTTTATATTTCAAAATGAAATCATAATATTTTAATATGAAAATCTTATATTTTAATATAAAATTATAATTAAATCGATGCCTTGATGACAAATATATTTTAAAATAAATTTTAACCTAATTAGATTGTTAAACATGTTTTAAATACATATTAGTTACATATTTATTCACTAATAACATTTTGGAGTATTTGATCAGTCAATTGACCCACTTGCCAACCCCTCCTAGAGTCATCCACGACTTAAAGTTTCTTGCCCTGGTTCTATTTTTTTTAGCACAGTAAGGCCCGATCCGGTTCGGGCATATTTTTAAAAAAATTCAGGCCTGGCCCTGATATATTAAAAAAATTTTTTTAGGCCCCGCCCGGGTATATGTAAAAAAAAATAAAATATATCCCGGCCCGTGTAACCGGGCTTAGGGTCGGGCCTGCAGGTCTCTGGTGAAATTTTTTTTATTATACACATTTCGTACATGTACAATTGATTCTCAATTGAGATATTTTTAAATTTAATTGTAAAAATAAAATATAATAAGAATTAAAATTTGTTATAAATTAATGTTAAAAACATCTATTAAAAAATAAATTTTATCAAAAGATCGCCTAGTAGTGCGCACAAATTGAACATTTCAACGCCATGTTTCTAAACTCAAATAAAAAAACGTAAACACAGCTATGTTTAAATTGGATCGTTAACTTTTATTTTTTCAATATGCGTCTAAATTCTAAACAAAAAAAGGCTTTGCCCTATATTTAATTAGCAAATCTTTTTGTAATATCATAATTCCATAAGCTAAATATATTATTGTATCATTTATATAATTATTTTACCTTTTAGAAGATGTTGTATCCATGCTATCATTTCAAAATTTAAGAACGTTTCAAAAAAACGCAAAATATTTTATTTTTTAATAAATAATTTAAAATGCAAAACGGAAATGTTTCTTATTTAAAAGAATGCATTTGAAATGCATTATTTGCGTTTTGAAGAGTTCAATTTATGCGCACTATAGCTCGATCTTTTCTTCAAAAGGTCAAATCAATCCGATGCCAATATTCATATCAATGCAGTCTTACTATTTTATAAAACAATCATTTGCATTTTGAAGTTTAGCTTAAATTATTATTCTTCTCCGTTTAATGGCCTTTTCCAGGTTTACCCAGGTTGGCCAGTTTTCCCTCTGATTTTTCTTTTCCTTTGACCGTCGTGAGTAGGGCTATGTCGATATTAAATATCGGATCGGATCAGCACCGATATTTAGCGTTTTCTAAAAATATCGGATCGGGCCGATATCTATAAAAACCGATCCGATCTGATATTACTTTTTTTTATTATTTTATGTATATTTATTTTACATTAATAATATCTTCTAAATAATTTTTTTTAAACAATGCAAATGCACAAATTTTATTAATTTTTTTAAATAGATACTGTATTTTAAAAGTTTTTTTATAAAAATAGAAAGGAACACCCAAAGTTTTATTTATTTTAAATCTTTTTAAATAATAACGCCAATTTTATTATTTAAACTTTAAATAAAGGAATTTTTTTAAATATGGT